TATGTATGTCTGTATGTGCGTATATACATACATTCATATATGTATATAAATGTATATGTATATATATGTGTGTGTGTGTGTGTATATATATATATATGTATATATATATATATATGTATAAAATAGATCTTTGTTGTAAATACAATCAGGGAGTAGGTATACTTCTCGTGCGTGGAGCTCGTCACCGTTGTGGTGGTGTGGGCGGTACTGATATGGGCGTTTGTGCTATTCTAACGTGTATGCACAAACTGGGGTTTTTTTTGTGCGTGTATCTACATTCGCTTTGAAATTCAACATGTCCACATTTGTATAAGCCCCTTTCTAGTTCGGATATGTAGATAAGTGTTACGGTTCATATCAGGATGTACATCGAGCCATTGTTCATGTGTAGAGGTCATTCTACATCGGCTAACAAATTATAAATACTTGTGTTATTCTCCCACAGCCGTGTGTTTTGGCTTGTGAGATTGCTGGAAATTTTCTGTGCACATCGATATCAGCTTGTTCATTTCTGTGATGTGTGCTATGTGTGTGATACGTGAATGCTTGATATAGTGGGCCGAGATCCATGTGCCAACATGCCATAATTCTACCCGTCGTATCGTACTTATGGAACGTCTTATCCTGTCGAACTACAACCAATGCTCCCGCACATTGTACCCACATCAGCTGTCTGGAACCGAGGTATTCACCAACGCCTTCCAGCACTACCGCCAGGGGAGATATAGTACGGCGTCGCGTATGTTTAAGCACTATCTCGATCGCTACGATTCGAAAGATATCGCCGCCCATACGCACATATCGACGTGTAGGAAGAGTCTTCTTAGGTTATCAGTCAGGTGAGGTTTATAAATCGCTATAAATCGCTATTTAAAAGTTACTTCATCATTCAGCCCCTGCCAGTATTTGAAGTTATGCACCTTTTATGTTAGGACTGTTACACGAATGTATAATTGTTCTATCTTCTTATGTTGTTATGCGATATTCTGTAGCCTATGGAAGCTCCAAATTGTGCTACTTAACCTGTGACAGCAAAATAGGCACGTCATATGATATTGTAGATGTATGAGTGCAACGTTGATTTCGTGCTTTATAGTGTCTGTGTTTCTGTTTTGGCTGTGTATGTGACTGTGTACCATTCTAATTGCCTTCTAAGCCGTTTCGTTTCTTTCTTTTCGAATGCTGCAGGACTGGTAAATAACCGCGGTGATGTTTGTCTACTGCAAAATAAAGCCTAATTCAACTGTATTATATGCCTGCCTACCACTGCAGACTACCCGTCTTGTTCTGTCAACGAGAGCATAATTCCTGGTCAAAATCATTGTGGACATTGACTTAACTTAAAAATTCATTTCCATACCATAACAAAAAGTATTCTCATCGCCTCGTATGCGTCTGTGGTTTTTGTCTCGTTCTAGATGCTTTAATGAGATTGTATGGAACTTGAACCCGAGTCAAAAGTATCGTGGACAGTGACTTGTCTTAAAAATTCGTCTCCATACCATAATAAAGATTATCTTCTCGTATAATTCTTCACGCATATTAGTAAGTTTGTATGTGCCTGTGGCTTTGTCTCATACTAGGTGTCCAACTGAGATTGTATGGAACACAACTCTCTGTGAAGTCGTAGCAACCTGGAATCTTATCTGCTCCTCGGATTGTATTATCCTTAGTTCCTCTTAAGACTTTATGCAAGTTAAAGCATATTCGCGCGCACCGAATATGGATGATGACAGCGACGTTGTCTCATTGGCGGGGTGGTCTGTATTGTTTTCGCAAAGGGCACTTGCGATGGCATTTCCAAGATGGATTCAATTGTAAATGAAATTGACGAGCCTGATCTACTCAATGACTTCTGCCGGGTAGCCAAGGCAGATGTACTGTTGATTGCCTGCATGTTGGCTGACCCCCGATATCCCAGCACGTCCGGGGAGCTCGGAGTTTGTCTCGTATTATCCAGTTCATATTCATTTTTAGGTTGCGAGTACAGCCTTTGCCGTGTGTTGAAACCATTCGCAGTGTGATCCGGACGCCTTGGATATTGTGTCTGTTCTGGGTCTTGTGCACTAGGCGGGTCGAGCATGTTGGGACTATTCGCGGGCCAGTACCAGCCTTTAATTATGTAATCTCTGTCCAAACAGCCCTCCAGAACTTTCAATATATCAGGTGCAACGACCACATTGTACTGAAGTAATTGTAGGACCAGCGTCTTTATATGGTGAAGTTGCGTCAAAGTCATATAACCTACACTAGCCCGTATACTATCCGCTGTGCAGTTTTGACCCTGAATATTTTCCGTGCTCATCACCAGACATGCTACAAACAGACACTTGTGACATATTTGGTTCTGCAGCACATTTACATTGTTCTGTATCACCTTAGCCATGTAATGGATAGATAAAGCTACCGAAGTAGGCTGTACTTTGCTCGTCCTGACTATTGATTCACAGAACTCGGGCAGTGGAACGTTTGGGTACTGTGAGGGAAGATGACATTCTGTAAACGACGAGTGTGTAGTGTCAAGAAAGCGGGACAATGGTGGCAATGCACTATCCGCACTCCCAGATTTGCTCATGTTAGTGTTCATATCTCATTTGTCGATTTATGGTTCCTTCGTATTGTGGTGCTTTGAGTATATATTATGTGTTGTGCTAAGTATATTTAATAAATTTTATTAAATCTTTCCACCACCGGAATGTACTATATCGCTCCGTATCATCGGCCTATCGCCTAAAATATCCTTTTTTTAAGAATATGTATTTTAATATTCTTACACTTACGAAGTTGAAAAGTTCTCGTTATCCAAATGTCGATGAGCTGCGTGCAAACCAACGGAATGAACGAATCCGCGATGAGGAATTAACTCCTATGAATGTGTTTGAAAATTGCCAATTTAGCAATTTTACTACATTTATCATTTATTTTTTGTTCATTGATCAGTCATTGTACAAATTTTAAATATCCGGAAGGCCGGGCGTTAGAGCGAGACTCCCGAATCCAGTAGAGTAGAAGAGTTCTCTATAGAGTTTTATTCTGATATTCAATATATTCACGGCCCTCTGGAATCATTGGGTCTCTGTGTACTAAATTTTCGATGTTGTAGACTGAAGAGAGATCAGAAATCTTGATTTCCGCTCGAGACCCTATCGGCCCATCCAGCCAGAGGGCAGTGATATATTCTCAACCCTCAGCGAATGTACATACATATTCCTTTGTAGTCCTACTCCTAACCTCAAACCGATTTCCGTCACAACTTTTATATATCGAATAAATATACGTTTACGTTCAACTTTTATTCCATTTACGGTCCTTTGTAGCTCAAAGGTGTACCTTGCGGGTCTAAATCTTTAAGTGTATACCGTTTTCAACATACGAACCAGTCCTATAAAATAGCTAGGTAGGCTCTTCTAATCACATTTTAACCGTTATACCGTTTTAAAATTGAATAAATATGTGTTTACGTTCAACTTCATTCAGTACCCCTACAACGTAATAAGCTTAGCTCTACTCTCTCTCTATTACAAGAGTCTCTGAAATTTCGGCCGGAATCACGGGGATGGGGATTCCGATTCCTGTACTTCTTTTTGTTTTTGTTTTTTGAAAAACAATAACTGATATTTTTCTTGCGAAAATTCGGCAGCGAAATTCCAATCCTAAGAGAGTAGTCTACTCTCCACGATGACGCCGGGTCTCCGGTTAGCCGGCAAGGTCTAAATCTAAAATCCGAGTATCAGACATCAGTAAATCTGCTTTTGGAAAAGTTGGAACTCTCTACCTCTGGGGTAGCCTTGGTCCCCAACAGTCTGTGGCCTGTGAGTGTGGGCTCACTCGGATGTGAGTCTGGGACTCTGGGGTGTAAATTCTTAATACTGTCACAGTCTCACTCTCACGTCTGCCGTATTTAGCACTTGGCTCGCATGACGCCAGTATGAACACATTCTTTTTTTCTTTCTTTTTTTCCTTTTTTACAAACCAAAATACAATAAATATCTGATCCTGACGAATTACATGCAGCGGAATTACGCTATTACAACTCACCAATCTTCGGAGCAGTTCTTGACTTCTTCCGTCCGTTTATTTTTATATTTTGGGCTTTCTAATGATTACGTCATTACGGTAACGAGCCACGGGCCCACGGGCCCGTCCGGCCCGCCCACGGGTAAAATCTGGAGTACATACATATTTAAAAAACGACATACATACATGATACATTATACTACAAGTGGTGTCTCTCTCTATTCTACTCTCTCTCTCTGTAATGGGAAAGGGGAGGCCGAATTGACATGTTTTGGCACTAAAAATTACACAATAAGACATTAATATTTAAATAGTGCAATGCATGTGTAAACACGATGCATGTAGCCCTCCGTGTTCTCACTGCCGCCTTCATAGCCATAACTATTCAAAAATCGGTCACAATCACACATATTTTGCACATATTCGAGTGGGGGGCATCTATAAACGTTCGTAAGTAAAAATATAGTGCTCTACAGCCTACATCAATATAAGTCGTGCCAAACGAAAATAGTTATTAGCGTTCTGCAAACACATCTTAATGTGAATTTCCATGAGCTTTTTTGAACATCCGCTCATTCAAATCGCATGCTTTAGTAAAAACTAGTACTGTTATGTTCTTCTATTGCGCCGGTACCACCTCCATTGTAGTTGTGATGCATGTCTCACACTATATTTTTTTTTTGGAGTGCAGGGAATATATACCTCGAATTTAACCATACTGGTTGGAAACATTACCAAGTCCATATACTTTTACTTCCCTTACACATGTATATGTATATACATATATATATATATAATATATATATATATATATATT